TTTTCCCAGCTGACCCGGATTTGCTGGAATTTTCCGATTTCCCCCCCTTATTTGCCTTGGTGGACTTCAGGCTGGGCTTCACTTGACTCCACTCGAACTCACTGCTCGGGGAATTGTGACTCTGTCCCAGGGACTGCGTGGTGGAGGACAGGGACACGATTGGCTGGCGGCTGCGTCTGCGCGGCAGCGAGTGCTGCTGGATCTGCTCCGTGAAGGACAGGCTGTGGAAGCTGTCCATCGGCACTGTCTGTGCTGTCACCTTGGAGGAAGTCGTTCTCAAAGAGGAGTTTTTTGAGCTCTTCAGGGAATTGTTGGACATGGAGGACTTCTGCCGGTACACGGTGGAGTCGGGAGACTCCGACGGCGAGCTGAAGGCGTGTGCCGGCCCGTTGGGCAGGCCGCGCAGGGACGGCTGCGCATCCCCGCYGCCGGTGCTGCTGGAGCTGTTGGACTTGATTGTGAGCGACTGCATTTTCGAAGACACCGACTGGARAGGTTTCTGCTCCATTGTGTGAACAGGAGATGGGGAACAGCCGTTCAGACTAGAGGCACCAYATTTTTCTAATAATTTAATGATTTGAGAATGTCCGTTTTTGGCTGCMACACGCATAGCTGTGCGTCCAAACTGGTCGGCGTGGTTAGGATCAGCACYGTGCTCTAGTAAGACCTGGACCACATGGACGTGCCCCTCCTGCGCGGTGATGCAGAGAGCAGTGGCACCCTGGTTGCAGGTGTGGTCCACCATGGCCCCATGCTCGATCAGCAGCTGCACGACTTTGACGTGGCCCTGCCAGGCTGCCGACTGCAGAGCCGAGCGCTTCTCGTTGTCCACAGCATTGACGTCTGCGTGGGAAGCAATGAGCACCTGCACCATTTCCATGTGGCCCTGCCAGCAGGAAACGTGGAGCGCTTTCCTGCCCTCAGCATCACTCGCCTCCACGTTTGCACCATTTTCTAAAAAATACTCGGCCATYGTCAGTTGGTTTTCTAAGGCCAGGATATAAAGCGTGGGCCTGCCATCTGCGTCTTTGTAGTTCACATCAGCGCCGCGGCTGAACAGCAACTCGACAATGTCCCTGTGTCCCTCTAAGGCAGCGACCCGCAGTGCATTTCTTCCATCGTAACATCTCTGATCAATGCTGGATTTATTCTCCAATAATATCTGAACACAGTCATAGTGACCCTCTTGTGAAGCCAGGATGAAGGGGATCCGGCAGTCGTGGTCGATCTCGTTTGTTCTAGCACCTTGTTCAATGAGCGCCTCACATATTAACCTGTGACCTYCAAAGGCTGCCATGTGCAAAGGGGTCCAGCCGGCATCGTCTCTGTGATTCTCGTCCAGCCCCCTGTCCAGCAGAGTGCGTACCACCTCAACATTTCCTTGTGCTGAAGCTATGCTGAGGACCGTCCTGCCTTCACTATCAATGTCCACAGCTGCACCCCAAAACAGAAGTGTGTTTACTACTGAAGCATGACCCATGGAAGCTGCTGCCAGCAGGGGTGTCCGGCCATTGTTGTCTGTGTGATCTACATCAGCCCCTCCCTCCAGAAGCAAGTCCACCACATGCACATGTCCTTCATAGGCAGCTACCAGCAGTGGAGTCATGCCGTCTTTGTCACAGTGATCCACTTCAGCACCTCGGTCAATCAAAAGGCTAACGACAGATGCGTGCCCTTTACTTGCAGGCACGCAAAGTGCAGCCACAGAGAGCGCGGTTCTGCCATCCACGTCCTCGTGATTGACTTCTGCTCCGTGGTCCAGCAGGTGTTCCACAATCTCTCTGTGTCCCATGTATGCTGCTGCGATCAAAGCAGTCCTACCTTCATTATCAGCTTTGTTAACCTCAGCACCGTGTTGTAGCAAGTTGAGAACAATATCCTCATGGCCTCCCCATGCTGCTGCTCTCAGCACTGTTCGACTGTCAGCATCGGCACAATCCACTTTTACACCAGCATAAAGCAGTGCAGACACGACCTCAGTATGGCCGCCCCAAGCYGCAGATCTTAATGCTGTCCAACCATCTTGATCAGTGTGATTGATATTTGCTCCACACCCAATCAAACAATTAACCACCTTGGTATGACCTTGTCTAGCAGCTAGGTCCATGAGCATCTTCTATCTCTAAGTCTGCTCCCCTAGAGACAAGCAAATTCACCACATCAAGGTTGCCACTGTAGGCGGCATTAGCCAATAACGTTCTCCCATTTGAATCGCACTGATTCACCGAAGCTCCATTATCTAATAGTGTCCTGATAGAATCCTCTCTTTCCAAGGCTTGTC